CGCCGCTCCCGCACGCCTCCCCGGCAGCCTTCTACTTTGAAAGGTCTTGTGCATTCCGAGTAAAAGGAGGGGAACCCGTCAGTTTTCGACGCCACTTAGTAATTGACTTTGCTGTTGAAGCAGGACAGGGATCCATTTTACTAAGGTCGGGGAAGCTTTGAAGAGCGCCGATTTAAAAAAAAAAAAATCACGAGGCTGGAGAAAGTGAAACCTCAAATGATGGTGTTTTCTCGGGATGGGATGTCAGATTAGTAATTATTTTCAGAATCTGGATACTTTGCAGTATTGTTATTGGCCAGAATCCATTTAAAACCAACTTCTCAAAACGTGTACCAGTTCATCTTAAGTTTAGATTTTTATTTAATTGTTATGGTAAGTCGCTGAAGACGAAGCAAAAATTTAAATTAAAAGATCATTTAAACCTGAAAATTAGAAAATAAGTTGGGGGGCTTTAAGTTTGGCGTGAAAATTTGGTGATTTCTTTCTGGTTACTAACAAAATCCCCTGCGAACTTTATGCACGGATTTATCGCATCTCAGGTCGCTGCTGTTCCACTGACCTCTGCACCCACAGCCCCTCATACTTTTTTTTCTTTTTTTTTAAGAAAGTGGTAGCTGTTTTACCAGCTGACAAAGATGGCTAATGATTAACTGTGATAGTGGGGAGTTAACTAGAAAGATTTAAGTTTTAACTCAATGTAGTATTTCTCTATCTCCTGACCTCTTATTTGAACTCACACTTTTTCAAAGTACTTTTTTTGTGTGTGCCTTTGCTTGCATTGGAGTTCTTTAAATATCTATGTGTATAAATATATTGACGTGTGTGTGTGTGTGTGTGTGGTGTGTGTGTGTGTGGTGTGTGTGTGTGTGTGTGTGTGTGTGTGTGTGTGTGTGTGTGGTGTGTGTGTGTGGTCTGTCTGTCACAGTGCCCATGGAGAAATCAGAGGGCAACTTGCAGGATTTGGTTCTCTCCTTCCACCATGTTGGTCTGGAGCGTTGAACTCAGGTCCAGTTTCCAAATCTCTCTGATACAATATTTGGATTCTTGTTACAGCTTTACTACGTGCATTTCCCTTAAGATTTCCAAAAGAATAAACATACTGGTGTGTGGTGGTAATCTAATTATACTGAAATATGATTTTGATTGTATGTTAATAAATAAAGTTGTCCGGGGGTCAGAGCTATTAGAGCCATAGCAAGAGTGTGGCGGTGGTGGCACACGCCTTTAATCCCAGAAAGCCAGCCTTTAATCCCAGGGAGTGGTGGTAG